CACACACCCCCCACACGCACACCAACACACACACACACACACACACACATATATGCTGGGAAACACGAAGCAGTTCCAAGTCTCCCATGTTCCCTGAGAGGGCGGGAGAATTGTATCCAATCATATGCTCTGTTGGCTGGCTCACCAAATACGTTACCATGTTTTGGGGTGCTGGAGTCTTACTTCTAGAGAATTTCTAGGTTCTTTCTGTCCTGAGCAAAGAATTGGTCAAGACAAGCAGAAACAGTAGCAAAATTTTAGTAGAGATAGGAAACGAAAAAGGCTCTATCTCTTTTTGTATCATCTACTCCTGAGGCCGACATCAGGCCTAGGCCATCCTATCAAAAATATGCTTGAGTTCTTGGGAGAAGTACACATGCATTGTTCTGAGAACTGCTCTGTGCGTGTCCTGGTGTTTTGTAATTAACACATCACACCTACTTCCCCAACCAGATTTGTCACACCCTAATCTGCCTCAGGTCACAGTTGATAAACTGCCTGGTATGGATTTGAATTTGGAATCCTCCAGCCTCAGCCTCCTAAGTATCTGAGATTACAGGCATATGCCACCCACCTAGAAATAAAGTTCTCTGAGACTTTTTTTAAACAGGACTATTCTCAGCCTGTTAGATTTAAATTCAATTCAGGCACTATTAATTGACTAAAATTACTCCTCATCAGCCTTAGGACTCTTTTTCAGGTCCCCTTCTCAAAGCCACCTCCCTCCAACTAGCCATTCTTTCCTAGACACATTTTTTCCATTTAAAATAATTTTTATTAGTGTATTCTTGTGATACATAGTGATCACATTTAGCTTGGTGGGGGGGGTTGATACAAATACAGGTTGCTTCCTGATCACTTTTACTCCCTACCCTGTATCCCCTTCTCATCTCTGCAGTCTGCCTCCCATTTCTTTGTTTGCTTTGGTTTTTTGAGACAGGGTCTCACTATGTAGTTGAGACTGACCTGGAACTCACTATGTAGCCCAGGCTACATACTCGGTATGACCTACTCACTAGCCCAGGCTAGTTTCAAATTCACAATGATCCTCTTGCCTCAGTCTCCCGAATGCATGCGCCACCACACCCAGCTCTGCTTGTTTCTTAATATGGCTTTTTAAATTTTGCTCTTTAAATTATATTTTGCTGAGGCAGGACCATCACTGTCAGTTTGAGGCCAGCCTGGGCTACATAGCGAGACCCTGTAAATAAATAAATAAATAAATAAATAAAAATATTTAGTGTTTCAGAGGAATCATGCAATACTTAACCTTTCAGAGTTTTTTGTTGTTCTTTTGAAACAAAGTCTCATTATGTAGCTCCACTTGGCCTTGTGTAGCCCGGGCTGGCCTCGAACTTACAGCAATTCTACCTCCGCCTCCTGAGTGCCAACCACGTGTTGCCACTGTGCCCAGTTTACCTAACCTTTTGTGACTGAATATTTCACTTATGATTATGGTTTCAAGATCCATTCATTTTCCTACAAATTACTCAAATTTATATTTCTTTTTTTTTGAGACAGAGTCTCATCTCACTATATACTTGAGATTGACCTGGAACTCACTATGTAGCTCCAGCTGGCGTCAAACTCACAGCGATCCTCAGCCTCCGGAGTGCTGGGATTACAGGCATGTGCCACCACACCCAGCTCAAATTTATACTTCTTAATGGCTGAGTAGTACTCCACTATATTGTGTGTAAATACCACATTTTCTCTGTCCATCTGTAAATGGGCATATAGGCCACTTCCACGTTACAGCTATTGTGAGTTGTGCTACTATGAAGGTGGGTGTGCTTGTATCACTGTGGTATTATGACTTTACATCCTTTGGAAAGATACCTAGGAGAGGTATACCATTTAGTTTTTTGAGAGATCTCTATACTGGTTTCTTTTTCTTTTTCTTTTTGGTACCGGGGATCAAACCAGGACTTCGAGCTTGTGAGGCAGGCAGTGGAACCACTGAGCTAAATCCCTGGCCCCATTCCGATTTCTAAAGTATCTGTACTACTTTACATTCCCACCAACAATATAGAGGGCTCCTTTTTTGCCAGCATTTATTGCTTTTGAGTCCTTGATTATGGTCATTCTTACTAACATAGGTGGAATCTTAGTGTTGTTTTCATTTGCATTTTTCCAATGACTTAAAGATGAATGTTTTTTCATTCATTTATTGGCCATTTGTATTTTTTCTTTGAGAAGTAAGGCTTTGTTTCAATTTTTCATTTTTTGATTGAGTGTTTTAGGGGGACTTTTTTAAAATTTTTACTTATTTGAGATATTAGTTCTCTGAGGAGTACCTCCTAAAATTTTTTTCTCATCCTGTCTTTTCACTATATTGGTTGATTCCTTTGCTGTCCAGAAACTTTTAATGTGATATAAACTAATTTATTGAATCTTGTTATTATTTCTTGTCCAACGGGTTATTTGCAGGACCTTTTCCCCCCTCCTCCCACCTATTTGTGGGAACATTTAAGTCTCTGATCCATTTTGATTTTATTTTAGTCCAGGATGGGATATATGGATCAAGAGTCTTCTGCATGTGGATAACAAGTTTTTCAAGCACCATTTTTTTTAATCCCATGAGGGATGCCCCCCCATGGGGATCAAACTCAGAGCTTTTCTCTTGCAAGGCAGGTGCAGTGTCACTGAGCTAAGTCCCTGGCTCAAGCACCATTTGTTAAAAAGAGTATCTTTTCTAGTATAAATTATTGGTCCCTTCGTCAAAAATAAAATAGCTGAGGTGTTTGGGATTATTTGTTAATTCTCCATTCTATTCTGTTCATCAATAAATCTGTTTCTTCTCCAGTAGCTGGACACATCTTTAATGGTTTGCCTGGTGGCCCAGCTACACGGGAAGCTGAGGCAGGAGGGTCACAATTTCAAGATCATCCCGGACAACAGTGAGATCCCATCTAAAATTTTTTTGAATTTTTTTTTCCTCTGGAGAGGCTAGGAGTCAGAGATGCTTGCCCATGGAAGGGTTAAGGGTTCCTCTGTAATTCCAGCTCTCAGGGACTGAGTCAGAAGGATCACAAGTTTGATCCCAGCCTAGTAGTAATTTAGCAAGACCCTGTCTCAAGATTTAAAAAGGAAAGGTGCCTAGGGACTGGGGCTGTAGTTCAGTATAAAGGCTTTGGGTTCAATCCCTTGTGCTGCAAACAAAACAGAACTTCTGATTCTTGCTTCCTGCCCCTGCATATGCACATTAGGTTTAAGTTGTGTTGGGTTTTTTTGTTTGTTTTTTGTTTTGTTTAGTTTTGCTTTTTGAGACAGGATCTCACTATGTAGTTCAAGATGTGCTTGAGCTGAGCATAGGCTTGAACTCTTGGACATCCTCCTGCCTCAGACTCCTACATGCTGGGATTACAGGTGTGTACCACCATGCCCAACTTGGTGTTGCTGTTTTGTTTTTGTTGTATGTCTCAGGCTGCCATTGAGTTTGAGATCCTCCTACCTTAGCGTCCCTAATAGCTAGTATTACAGGTTTGTGCCAATGTACCTGCCTCCGTATTAGGTATGATTGATAATTTTTTGTTATCTTTCCAGAAATGTGATATGATCAATCTCTTACTATTTTTACAGAGGGAAAAAATTCTGTGCAACACTTCTACACATATCTTTTTGTTTCTCAGAGCTCCCTTTACACTAAACATCATATTATACACATCAGGGTTCATTTAGACACTGCCCTAATGGTCATCCAGTGACCTACTTCTGTTATTCTGGCATATGATGCGCTGCAAAGCACATCCTACTCTGTTTTATTGCCAGTAGCAGTGACTTCCAGTTTTTATGGAGCCTTCCGTGTTACACTCTCAACGAGCCAGTTTGAGAATTTAGCATGTTACTATTCGAGGGACTACTGTAATGTAAAGAACTTGGGCTCTGCTGCTTATGACCAAGGAATCTTGGACAAGGCTTACCTTTTCCGGGAGTCAATTCATTCGCCTATAAAATGGAGTGAACTCACAGACTGGCTGTAATTGAAGGCATAGCATCCGAAGAGGTCTCCGCTACCTTTTAGTTTCAGATTATCCCAGGGTAGGAGAGCCAAAAACTTGACCTGAACATGCTAGAGGATCTCCCGCCTGGTAGATGAGTAAACTGAGGCTTGGAGAGCACCGACGGTTTAGTTAAGACCAGGAGGCAGTCAAACAGGCTCGAGTCAGACCTGCTAGGGTGGCCTCTGGATCCGGACCCCAAGGAGGCTTCACACCAATGAATGCGGTCAAGTGGAGGCCTGGAGGGGACCTTCCCCCTTAGCCATCAACCCTTTCCCGCTCTTCTCTCCTCTTCAACACGCACTCTAGTCTACTCTGCTCTCTTTCAGTTCGATCCCTGATCAGGGACGATTGCGTGGGTTGGGGATGGAGTACGTTTCAGAGCACCTGAAGGCAGTCTAGTGGGGCGCCTGCGAACTGTGGGGCACCGGGACTCGGCGTCCTTCCTTCCCTCTGTGCGTCAGTGTGCCCTTTTGCGCCCGAGGAACGCTAGCCAGACGTGTGTGCAGATGGGTGTTGTGCAGCTGTCTAGGGTGCACGTTGTATCGTTCCTTGCGAAACGTGTGTGGGGTGGTCGGCAGATGTGGGGATACATGACGTCTGGGGCTCGCGCTTTAGAACGGCCGCCCTTTCCGACCGTACTATGTAACTTGCCCTGCAAAGCCGCCTGACCTGGGGTTTGCGCGTGCGCGATCCCGCCTACGGCCCCGCCCCTGAGGCTGGAACCCCGCCTTCTCCTCGCCTACGCCACACTTTACGGCCGGGCACGCCACTTTTGCTGCAGTTGTTCTCGCTGCTGCTGTCTCCGTCGCTTCTGCTGCTAGTGAGGTAAAGCGAGGTAAGGTGTGGTGTTGGGCGGGTATTGCCATCGTCGCCTCGGTACGGTGACAAGGTGTGTAACGCGGCTGTCACCAGCTGGCGAGAGCGGCGAGTCAGCTGCTGTGTTGTCTCCTCAGGTCTGGTGCCGTCTGCCAAACCACGGAGAGGCCGTCTGGGCCCCGCCAGCCGAACCAATGCTGGACCTAGAGGTGGTGCCTGAACGCTCTCTGGGGAACGAGCAATGGGAATTCACGCTGGGTGAGTATAGGGTCTCTCGTTAGGGCCCCATTCACTGATGTTCACTTTTTTTCAATTTTGTTTTGAGATAGTCTCGTCCTATACTCTAGGCTGGCCTCGAACTCGTTATCGTAGCCCAAACTGGCCTTGATCCCGTGATCCTCCTTCCTCAACCTCCTGAGTGGTAGGATGACAGGAGTGGCTGTGGTCTTTACTTCTTTGTAGGTCGCCGGTCTGTGGGCTCTACCCTTAATGCACTGTGCCTGTGGCTCCACGCCTGTTTGTCCCCTCTGCAATTTGGGCTCCAGGCATTGGCTCCCAACTGGCCAGATATGCCTGTCCGTGCCTTGTGGGACAAAGACCTCCTCACTTCAGCTCCAGCAGGGTGGCTCCTGGGGCAATGGGACTGTCGTAGTAATAGTAATAATAATAATAGTAGCTTGCACACCCTAAACATTTCATGGCCGACTTTGCTCTTTTGAACGTAATTATCTATAGTAACCCTTGCTGGGGTCTACAAATCTACTATTACTACTCCCATCCCCACTGTATAGAATAATAGAAGTGGCTGACATCTGTTAATACCACCATGGTCTCTGATCTGTTTCTCTTTGCTTTTTGGTGATGTGTGTTGCCCTTTTTGGGAGACCCAAGCTCTGATCTGTATTCAGACAGTGGGGATCTGGTCAAGGGGAATTGAGATTATACCTGTTTGTTTGTTTTGTTTTTGTGTTTTTTTGTACCAGGGCTTGAACTCGGGTCCTTGTGCTTGCGAGGCAGGCAGCGGCACCACTGAGCTGAATCCCCAGTCCTGTTTGTTTTTTGAGGCAGGGTTTTGCTGTGTGGTTCAGGCTGGCCTTGAACTCATGGCAGTCCTGCCTCAGCCTCCCAAAGGTTGGGATTACATGTAAGCACCACCATTCAACCCTCTGCCTGTTAAAGCAACTTCTGACTTGTTTCCTTCTTTAGAAATGTAATCTTTTATGTGATGGTATAATTCTACATCCAGCCTTCTGCTGTCAAGAGTTAAAGGTTACATAAAATAAGAATTAAGGGAAAATAACCTACAGTTTGTAGAAAATGCAGTATGGTCACTTTTGGTGAGTTAGCCCAGTTTTCTCCCACCATTCTTTTTATCCACAACATCACTACTTTTGTTACAAGGATTGGGCCAGGGATTTGGCTCAGTGGTTCCACCTCTTGCCTCGCAAGCCCAAGGGCCTCAGTTCGATTCCTAGTACCAAAACCAAAATGACAAGGATGTTTGTATTCAGTAACACCAATGTGTGTTACTCTGATGTTCCAGCACCAAGAGAAGGGAGTGGGAAGCAGGTGATGCTGCTGCTTGTTTGCTGGGTGAAGTTTTATCGCTCTAGTGTGGGCTATGAAACTGAATCGGCTGCTCCACTGGATTATGACTTATCCTTGAATTTGGAAGACTCTTGTTTATGGAGACAGCGTATTGGAGAAATTTTGCAGTACAGGTTGATGGTAGGACCCGGCTGGTGGTCCTTGTACTGGTGCCATTAACAAATTGTAGGAGTCAGTTCTATTGAGGAGTCTTAGCCAACTTCTCTCAAGACTTAGACCACTCTTACGGAGTTCCTCACAGTTTTAGCTGGTATGAAATGTTCTGCATTCCTATGAAGCACCAAGGCCTTGGTTGAGAGGCCAGTAGTATCATGCTAACACTGTTTGGCTTCTAGTTAATTCCTTTCTTCCCGTACCCTAGACTACTTCTGCCCACACCAGGACCTCCCAGGTCTGGATAAAAACCACAGCCATACCTTCAGACTGTGCTAATGATGTGACCACATTGTGGATCTCTTTGTGATATAAGCATTCAGTCACTTGATCTAAATGTAGTGACTAGGGTTGAGGTCAGGATTTCTTGAAAACCAAGTGGGAGAGGAAGGCCTCCTCTGGTAATTGCTTTGACAGCCTAATTCTAACTGCCTGTTTCCAAGAATCAGGGGTTTGGGTAGTTCTTCCAGACTATATTAGTAGCAACTAAAAATAGAAGGACATTTCTGTATGGGTTCAGAATTAAACTTCCGAAAAAACTCATAGAGAGAACCTAAATTTTCATGATTCCTTGTGGGTCTTAAATTTTGCATTTTTAAACAGTGTAAAAGTCTTTTTTTTTTTTTTTTTTTTTTTTT